TCCTAGAAGCCCCCATAGAAAAACAATCAAGCCTCCACATAAGGTACTTGAAATGATAATTGTTTTCTTTGTTAAAATACCTACAGGAAACAGGTCATTGTTTATTTTACAGAAAAACAAGAAGCAAACAAAAAAATCACCTGAGTTATTTTCCTCTTTTCATACCTCCTACAGCTCACAATCTAATAATTAATATTAAGAAAGTTAAAAAGGGTAGTAAGATTAATGACTTTTTCATTGCAGCACCTCAGAAGTGCTTTGACACCACTTCTTAGTGACATTTCTGAAACTGTAATATTTTATTCCTCTGTCCTGCTTTCAGAACAGAAAACAAACAATTGCCACCTATGGGCTTTTTGAAAAGGAATGTTTGCCTCTTCCAAGGAAAAGAAAAACAAAACTAACCATGTGAGAACATACTTATGTTTGGACTTTTTAGGCGAACCTGGTGGAGAGAGGTGGATTTACTATATCTTTGAAGTCTGTTTTATTAATATCACTTTTGCCGAAGGTCCATATTACGGAAGCTACACGCCCGATCCCTGACCCCCAAAAGGAGGTGTCTGTGGAGAATGAAACCTAGGATAATTATAGGAAGCACCATTCATGTTAACAGGAAGCTTCTGCCTTCTCCCTTACTTGGTCTTTGGTACTCCGTCCCTTTCCGTTTCTTAACCCCTTTTCCTTCCATTTCCAACGCTCACGAAGAAGGATCTTCTGCGGTCTCTCGAGCTGGGAAAATACAGGGCTTTAATTGCTTGTATTTGGTGACCACACACTGGAGGAAACGGAGACACCGGTATTCCGGGAGGGCAATGAAGCAGCAAAACTGAACTGCAAACAGCTAGATCAAGTCTCAGCAGCAATTGAGCATTTGTGTCGCCCTCTGACCTTTTATAGGAAGGGTCAGCAACCAACGGCAGCTGGCTAAGCACCAACTTGTGCCCCTGGCCCAGGATTGGCTAGAGCCTGGCTACAACCCAGAGAATTTAATCTCTGATTGGCCCCTCACCTTCCATCAGCTATCTACTAAAAGCAGAAAATGGGCAATCTGATGCTTCCTTTTGGGCTCTTTTACATGTTCACAAGTCAGAAACTGTTTTACCTTTTATGGGTCGTCTATCCCTTAAACTGAGGAGCTCTGGTAGTGTAGTGGTTATGAATCGGGCTGCAAACCTCAAGGTCAGCAGTTCGAAACTACCAGCTGTTCCGCGGGAGAAAGATGAGGCGTTCTGCTCCCGTAAAGATTTACAACCTTGGAAACCCTGTACAGGGTCGCTATGAGTCGGAACCGACTCCACAGCACATAACAACAACAATCCCTTAAACTACATACTCTCTAGCACCATAGATAACTCTAGCCCCAATCCAAATACTTGCCTGCCTTTTTTTTACCCCCCTAAATAAATTCTACTTTAGTTTCAATCTTTTAAATCTCTGAGTTCTAAGCTTACCTGTATATTGAGTAAAGCTATTTGGAGAAGCAATGTTAATATTTTCACATGTTTCCATAGTACTAGAATGAAGAGTTGATTCATACCAAGGCAGTCTTCATTGCGCACAGTAGTCAGGGTAGGATGTCAAGCTATCTTAATAGGAGCATTGGCATTACTCCCTGACAGTTAAAATGTTCTGTCAAAGTGCTAAAAACCTCCTTACTTATAAATAGATAGAGAAATGAGAAAATAATAGAATTCATATTTGTTTGTTGTTAAGTGCCGTCGAATTGATTCCAACCCATAGTGACCCTGTATAGGGTTTCTGAGGAGCAGCTAGTGAACTTGAACCACCGACTTTGCAGTTCAAATGGCTTTGCAGTCTGGTGCATTAACCCACAGCGCCACACCAGGACTACTGAGTGCTAGTAGTGGTGGGTATTAATGTGGCAGTGTTCAGTACTTAACAGACTTTGTCTGCTACCTCAGGATTGTCTAAAAGCATAGCTGGGTACTAAGTGGTTCTTCCTCCTATTAGGCAATCGTGACCTTTAGCATCAAGAACTGTATGCACTTGATGAGGAGTAAGAACCTCTATCCTCCTTCCCAAAGTTAGCTTTGAGTCGTCTTTAACAAGAAGTGCAATAACCACAATTGTTCTTAGACAAGGGGGCTTCCCTTTTGCTACCTAATTTAACTGGAGAACTAAGCAACAGGTATTGTTAAGGGACAAGATTCAGAATGAGCTCTTTGAGTGTGACCCACAGTTTTTCATGGATGGATATTTTAGAGGGTTATTATAAATGTGGAAAGTCCAGTGCTGGGCCTCCCTGAGAAAGGTTTTGAGTTTGTTAAAGGCCCCCTCACATTCAGAGGTCCACACTAATTGTGCCTTTTCTTCTCCAATTCAGGCCTCATACAATGGTTTTGCGATAAAACCAAAGTTTGGAATCCAAATCCTACAGATTACTCACCTCTGCTTATTGGGCCATGAGCCAGGACCATTGCCCATCCTGCAGATTTTGTAATTTGTCAACAGCCTGCCTTGTAACCTGCTGATCTTGGATTTTTCAGCTGTTAGATTTAGTGTAAATGAACACAAGAGGGTCCTTGCTCAGTGCACACATAAACTCTATCTCTGCAGACCTGTCTTTGAGGAAAAGAGAGTCGCTTTACTATACAGTGTTGAGCAAGGATTCAGTAAGATGGTTCCTCAGATATGGCTTCCTGAATAGCTGGGGTTTTGTAAAATCTGAGTTATGTGACCAGTTGGGACTGCAAATACTGGATGGGCCAGAATAGAATAGATCCAGTTCACATCAGTCCTTATGGATACTTGTTTGCTAAACAACTTGGAGGAAGTGAGTCAGCAATTCAATTTAGAGGAAGTGAGTCGACTTTCTTGATATCTACCTGAGTTTTGCTATGAGTCAGAATCAACTTGGTGGCACTTAACTAAAACAACATCTGAGTTTTAACCTAATCTGGAAGGACTTCATCAGAAAAAGCCTCCAGTCTGATGTCTGACGTACAGGTTGTAAGAGTTCAACCTCCAAAACTACGTCAACTCTTTTTTTAAGATAAATCTCTCTATACATATCTACATGGTATGTATGTGTATATATATAT